TTTTGTTTCCCTTGCCCAAGAAGACATACCAAAAAAAAATTACTAAAATCAATGTCACAGAGTTTACTGCCTGTGTTTTCTTTCATGTGTGTCTGTATAGTGAACATAAAATTTCTTCTAGGAATTTTATGATGTCAGAGCTTACAGTTAAGTCTTTAATCCATTTTAAGTTTATTCTTTATATGCTGTAAAAGATTGGTCTAGTTTCATTTTTTCAAGTACCTGTTCAGTTTTCCCAACATCTTTTGAGAATAATGGTTTTATCTTATTGTTATTCTTGCTTTCTTTGTCACAGATTAATGAACCATTTAGGTGTGGGTTTACTTCTGTCATGTCTATTCTGTTTTTCACTGATCAATGTGTTTTTATGTCAGTACCATGATGTTTTGATTATGATAGCCATTGCAACATTACTTACAATATCCAAGGTATGAAAGCAACCTAAGTATCCATCAATAGACAACTGAATAAAAAGATACATTGCATATATACAATGAAATATTACTCAGCCATAAAAAATGAAATCTTACCATTTGAAACAACATGGATGAACATAGAGGGTATTGTGCTAACTGAAATAACTCAGAAAGAGAAAAAATGCCATATTACTTCACTTAAATATGGAATATAAAGAAGAAAATAAGCAAAAAAAAACCCCAGAAATAGGCTCATAGATACAAAAAACAAAGGAATGGTTTTCAGATGAGAGGGTTGTTGGGGGTGGGTGAAAAAAGCATAGAATTAAGAAGTCAAATTGGAAGTTACAAAATAGTCAGAGGACTGTGAAGTAACATTGCAAAACATTGCAATAACTGTGTATGGTGTCAGGTGGGTACTTGATATATTGGGGAGATTGTTTTGTAAATTATAAGAATATCTAACCATTATGCTATATGCGTGAAACTAATGTAGTATTGAGTGTCAACTGAAATTAAAAATAAAAATAAAATGTTAAAAATATGAATGCTGTCTACAAGTCTTTTGAGATTTATTATGTACAGTATTGATTTTCTAGGGCTGCCATAACAAAACACCAGTTTCGGTGACCTAAACAACAGATATTTATTTTCCTACAATTTTGTGGGTTGGAAGTCTGAGATCAGGGTGTCAGCAGGCTGTACTGTGAGAGCTACAGTCTGATTCCTCCCTTTCAAGTGTGTTCCTGTGAGCCACGGTCAGTGCCAGTGGGAACCAAACTGTACCTGAGGCTCTCATTCCTGTTCTTCCTCTGTCCTGCCACCTCTACTTGTTCCAGGATGCCCATTTTGTACCAGATGTACTGATGTGTGGATCTGTCATGTGTGTCTGTATAGTGAACAGGTGATCCCTTTGTCAAGTTTTAATTGTCTGACTTGTAAATTTAAGAGGAGAAACAGTGGAATCTTTTCACTCCACAGTGATGCTGCAGACACTAGTTTCTAAATTGCTCTTTGTATATATAAACACATGAGGACTAGAAACAGATAATTCACGGCAGTGATGTGCTTATATTTTATTGGGAGCAGGGCAAAAGGCTGCGTGTGTTTCTAGGATGAGTTTATGTTGTTATCAGTGGGACGGTTTGATTTTCACTTTTGCATTTTTTCATAGTGAACATGTAGTTTTTCATAGGAGGGCAGTTATGAAACTGCTTCTAGGATCTTGGCAGCATTGCTGTGAGAACAGGTAAATTTTCCTAAGAAACTTTTAGGTTTGAAAATTTAAGATCATAGCCTAGATCCCTACATGTTTTGCTCCTTCCATTAATCATCCACAGCATTGTCATGAATGGAAAGTTAAAGAAACCTTCTATAATTTTAATAAACAACATTATTCTCACTTCAGTATAGCATCATTTCAGGCATTAAAGAATAAATTATTTATCACATTAATCCTCTGTTGTACAATTTTTATTTTATTGCAAAGCACACAATCATATATACAATGCATAATTATCATCTACAAGATATAAATAATAAACATTATAGTAACATATATGTGAATATAATATGTTTCAGAGAATAAAGTTGCTTTAGGGATGAGATTTTCATATTATGCTGAATCTTCCAAACAGTTCTTTCTTAGAAAATAAACCTCATTGAATGGACAAACTTGTTACAGTTTTCACCTTAAAAAGCTCTAATTTAAAGCCAGCCAATGTATTTCTTTTATTTTAGTAATTCTTACTATGTCTCTACACTAGATAATAATGGTTATACAAATTTGAAAACTTTTATTTCTCAGTAATACATTGTAGAATGAAGCCATTTTCTTAAGACTTATGTGAATGGTCCTTGCTTTTTTTCAGAACTATCTTTCCAAACTATGCTTTCATCTTTAGTATAGGGTCTGGAGTTTTTATTTAAGCTTTTCACATAGGAGATGCTCTATTCTGAGACACTAATACTCTTCTCCCAGTTAGAATTATGGTTTTGCACCTGCATGCCCCTTACATGTCTGTTTCATTTCTCTGAATTTTTTCTAACCCTTCTCTAAATTCTATCTTCCAGAAGTTGTCACCCAGGTTGAAGATAGAGTTCATGTAGAGAGAATTTCTAGGATACATGCAGTTCTGCTTTCGGAGAGATACAGTGAGCAATGCACTCCTTTCTGTGATGGGAGAACAGGAGCATCAAAAGATGGGACATAGCTGAGAGGCAATTGGACTTGGACAAATGTATGGAATGATGAAGGAATAGCAATATGACCACGGCTTCAAGACAATATACACACACAGAGACATGCACACACATGCCTGAACAGTCTTGTGCATATATACACTTTTAAAGAAGAAACACATTTGTGTAATTGGTATTTTTCCTAACATACTCATATGTGATTCACTTTAATACAGTGCCCTAAAAAGACATAGCCATCCTCCCTCCACTTTCAGTTTGGGGAAATTGCTGTTAACAATAATAGAGAAGCTTATAATACCCCTCATGGGCACTTAACGCGCCTTCCCTTTCCCTGGGCTGCAAATGGCAATTGATGCTATGAAAGTGTCTGCATACTAATTTAAAGAGAACACATTTCTGTAAGTTTGTTTCATTATTTTATTTCTGTCAAAGTTTTGCACTGTGTAAGAATCCTTCAAGAAAATCTCCTGGGTTTTACTGTTGTAAAAAAGCTTCTACATTTTCCACTTCAGTAGGGTTTATTCCTGGAACTACTTGCTATGTAGATATCCTTCCTGTATGATAGCCAAGATTTTTAACCATGAGGTGAATATCAACCAATATTTAAGCCATTTCTATCTACATTCTTTTATAAGACTACAAGAAAAATAAATAAAATTTAAGAAACGCTCAAAAGAGCTCTATGTTTTCATCTCAAAAAAATTCACCTTGCTGCCATTAGTCATCCAGATTCCATGAAAATCTGGAATTGACAAACTAATCGACAAACATCATCACAGTAAGATTACGAAGCCACCTTCAATCCAAAAGGAGAGCATATATATACAAGAGAGGACACACAGTGAATAGAACTTATATAGTCTATATTTATATGTCTATACCTTTGACCAATTAAATTTCAGAGGGTGCTGTGCCAATAATATATGTAAAAGCTAAAGAAAAGATGGGTGTTATTTTTAAATTATCCCTTTCTTCTGCCCAGGCAAATTACAGAAAAAGCCATTATCTCTGAAACCATATGTTTCAGGGAAAGAAAGTGGGAATTTATATATCATCTGGAAGTTTTAGCAAAATCACCCTAAATTTGATGGTTGCAGTATTTTCCTCTCTCGAACAGTGCAATGTATGTGCAAGCACCGCAAGTGACATAATGTTCCCATCCAGCTCACAGTTAGGAGCATTTCTACTTTCTCCTGAAAGCCACAAAATAATCTTGAGATTTAATGAGCAAAATGCTCTCCCTTCATTAAGAAGGAAGAATATGGTAATAGCTATATATTCATAAAGAGATGTTGCATATAAACTAGATTCTGCAACCAGACTACTACCTGGTTGTGAGTTAAATATTTTGTGATTCATTAACACAGAGGTTATGGGCACTATTAAAGGACTAACTGGTGTTCAGGTAGTTGAGAAAAGTTGGTATCATTGACTGATTCCTAGAGAGAAGCTTATGTTGCAACAAAATGCCTCAGCATCAACAGTAGAGAACTCAGGGATATTATTAGCATCCCCTCAAGAAACTGCCTGGCTGAAAGGCAAGCCTATCCTTTTATATATATATATTATATTATACATATATATAATATATATATACACACACACTTATTTACAGATGAAATATACATATTTTTGGTAGTATTTAAACCACTTTATGTTTCTTAACATCAGGACATGCTTTATCCATGACATTATCTGAATAGCATGCTAAAAATATAGCATGCTATATTCTTCAAGAAACTAAACTATGTTATAAACCATCTTTTGCATATTTAAATATCATGATAATTTTCTACTATATATGAACATCAGACACTTCAGGTGTTGGTCCAAGTCATACTGAAGGTAGAGTCTTCACCACACAGCCACATGAAATCCATGTCCATATAGTACAAAGCACGTGGATGGGTCCTGGAAATGTTGGTTTTACTGAGGTTCTTACTGTCAATGTTAAGCATCTGAATTGTATGCCCAAGCTCTGAAACCAATGTTTGTTTGTTTGTTTGTTTTCTAAACAGAGCTTTTGGAATGACATTGCATAGGAAGGCCACAGCAGCTAAGTCCTGAACTAAATTTAGGTAACCAGAAGAAAAAGGCTTGTTTCTTGTTCATCAAAGGAACCGGGAGCCAGCCTTGATTCCCTGCCCTAGAGAGGGTTGGTATTTGCACTCTCAAACCTTTTGTACTCAATCCCTCCAGTCTTGATGCTTCGACCAACCTGAGTTGCTAATGCAGCCTCCTTTATTAAAGACCATGAGATTTCTAAAAGTTTGTTAGAAATTCTACTTTTCCATATTAGACTGCAGTAGTAATCTGAGTTAAACCTAGATCATTGAACTCTTCTCTTCCTGGAGAACTATAAGAAGACATCTCCACGACTAGTCATACTGGTTTATTTATCCCATCAACATCCCTCAGGTAAGCGGGATCCTGAATTGTATTTCTGACTCTACTAGTGCCCTGACGCTCCATCCTCATCTTAATGGGAAAGCAGAAGTCCCTGAAACACCTCTTGAAATTTTCATCCAGAAAAGCATAGAGAATGGGGTTCAGGCTGCTGTTGGTGTAACCTAAGGCGATGCAGAAGTAATAGCTGGAGAGGGCAGCGGTGCTGTGGGAGGTGCTCCCCAGAGCCTCCACGAGGATGAAAATGTGAATGGGAGTCCAGCAGACGATAAAGACTGCCACCACCACCAAGACAAGCCTGGTGATTCGACGGAGATTGCGATCTTTCTCTCGGGAGCCAGAAAGGAGTCGGACGCTCTTTAAGCGCAGGATCATCAGGGTGTAGCAGATGATGATGATGATGACGGGGATCACAAAGGCAAATACAAAGACACAGATTTTCATGAAGAGGTCCCACCAGGAGTAATCGTCATCTGGGAACTGCAAGGAGCACTCAATGACATCGATGTCTGCAAAAGGTGAACAAAAACAAAACAAAGCACAAAGAGAAAAGGATTACTACTGTGGCTGCAAAGTGTTTTAAATGTGATTTTTAATACTTTTGATTGCAAAGGTCCAATAATAGCGAGATAATATTACCTGAAGCAGGTTACCTAATTAGGAATGAAAGCCATGGATATTAACCATCCTATCTTTGTGCATGGAACAATAAACCCAGAAAGTCACCATTTATTGGTAACATACACTGAACTACAGAATAAATTAAATTAGCTATCAATATGAATTATCTAGTTCTGAAACTGGTTTCACATTGATGATTCTCAGAACAGTTAAATTGTTAATTTATAGCATTAGCGCTTATTTGCATTTCTATTTATTAACAATTCTTCCAGACCCAAGTTTCTGACAATAAAAACTAGTATGTATTAGTAATAAATGACTAAATATTGCAAACCTAGCCATTTAATTTAACAAAAGCTAACTTGTCCTAAAAATATTAACTGGTTTACAGGAAGCTTTTATGAAGGTCAGTAAAAGTTTATATAAAATTTGTCTAAATATGACCAAAGTACTGTGATTTAGTGGAGCCAATGGTGACCCTCGTGATTAAGGGCATTGCTGAAGAAACATGAACAACTTCTGGAGTAGAAGAAGAAGGTGGAAAAGAAAAAGAAAAATTAGAAGAAGGAACAGGGAGGAGAAGAAGGAAGGGAATCATCATCATTAAGGAAATTTAAAAAATCAGACACATTTTTCATTCTTACCAACATTGACTAGGTAACAGGTAAATATTTTTATATGATTATTTAGAAAACTGCTTTATTTGCTCCAATTCTCTTTGATGGAGAGTTTTTTGTTTTTTGTTTTTTTGGAGTGCTGTTAATATTCTAAGAACAGACACCAAAAGAGCAGAGACCCAGGATAAGTACCTTTTATAATACTTTCATTGTGGATCTGCCCGCCCCTCCAGAGCTCCCATTTGTCGTAACTGTCAACCAGCCCCCATTTTTTCTTCTTGCCTCTCATCAGTCACTGAGCACAGAACAGGCCTAGCTCTCTTTGTCCTGATCCTTCCTTATGGATAAAGTAATCATGAGCAATTTAAAGTGTAATTTTTATAATGAAAATATTTTCCTTTGACATTGCAAAAACCTGATGTTAAAAAATATTTTGACCCAGCAATTCCCCTGCTGGGATTATACCCTAAGAATCCCAAAACACCAATTCAAAAGAACCTATGCACCTCAATGTTCATAGAAGCATAGTTTACAATAGCCAAGTGCTGGAAGCAACCTAAATGTCCATCAATAAGCGAGTGGATCAAAAAATTATGGTACATTTATACAGTGGAATATGATGCAGCAGAAAGAAAGAAAGAGCTACTATGCTTCGTGACAGCATGGATGGAAATGGAGAGCATTATGCTAAGCTAAATGAGCCAGGGGGTGAAAGACAAATACTTTACAATGTCACTTGTAAGTGGAGCCTGATCAACAAAACAAACAAGCAAGAAAAATATAATGAGCAACACTGAAAGAAAAAACAAACAGTGACAAGAAGGAAGGAGGAGAGGGTGTAACGGGGAAAAGAAGGGGAAGGGTCAAATCAAGGAACATATAAAAAGGACCCATGGACAAAGCCAAAGTGGGGAAGGATTGAGGGAGGGAGGTAGAGATGGGTGGGGAAGGGGAAAGTGGTGGCGGGAAAATGGAGACAAGTATATTTGAACAATAAAAAAGAAAGAAATAAAAAATATTTTACCCTGATATGTTTGTCTAGCCACTATGTGGTATACCTGAAACCAATACAAAATAATATTGAAAGTAAACTGTAATTAAAAATAAAAAATACTCTTGAAAAGAAATAAATTCAAAAAATTATAGTATTTGTTTTGCAATAATGTTTGGGAAACCAAATTTGTATATGGTTTGGGTATAGGTTATATACAAAATATTCAGTATTCTTTTCTTACACATTGCTAATAAAGAACAGATAAAATTAAAAAGGAAATTTTCTCTGGACTTTGCTTGTCTATTGAATCTGGCTTCTTTAAAGGTAGGGAATGTGTCTTTGTTTTTCCTGCTTAACTTTTCTGTATTCCAACATTTTCTCTTTCTTGCTGTTGGCCTCAGCTTAAATATCACTTCAGAGACATGTATATATAGAAGTCAATCCATGTGAATAGTCTTTTCTGCTGCAAATTATATTATCTCTATATTATACTCATCCTACATTTATCATTCTATCCTGGCAGAAGCTAGACAGAAGCTCTTCTGTAATAACATGTTACCTTTCTTAAGGTTTTTCTCTCCATCCAGAATGTAAACTGCTCTAGGATAGGTATTTAGACTGCCATATTCAATATTTAATCCCTTCTACATAGGGTGGCAGAAACATTTGGAGCTCATGGAGAATACATTGTGAAATAAATGAACAAATGAATACCACATGGAAACCCTTAAAAATATGAACTGACTACAGTAGTTATTACAAAAGAGTACTTGCTAAAATAAGCAAAAAGCACCATAAGGGCTGATGTTTAACTTGTATATATTTTTTTGACCCTATGGAACAGCTTCCTCTTGCAAAAATTGTCTTGCATGTAATAGAAGCTCTACAATATTTAATGAATGAGAGAAATAATCAACTACAGCTACAGCTGCATTTTGAAAACCAATTATAGCATGGAAATATACTCCAGAAATATCAATGAAGCTCAATTTATACCAAAAAAGAGAAAGGAGAGTACTGAGGCAATCATCAAGAAAACACAAGTCCAACATTTTTATAAAATGTTCTGTTTCAGAAAAGAGTGAATCCTTAGCTTTAAGGACATACATATTCTAACAATAAATGGATAGAAAAAGATATTCCATGCAAAATGGTAGGCAAAAGAAAGCAAGAATAGCTATACTTATATTACGCAAAGCAGATTTTAAGTTAAAACTGTTGCAAGAGACAAAGAAAGTCATTATAAAATTATAAATGTTTTAATTCTTCAAGAGTATATAACAATTAATAACATATATGCACCCAACATCAGAGCACCTAAACACATAAAGAAAATATTAACAGAACTCAAGGGAACCTTAGGCAACAATACAATATAGTAGGGGTCTTCAGTATCCCACTTCCAAAAATGAATAGATGATCCAGAGAGAATGGTCAATAAGGAAACAGCAGAATTGAACAACATTATAAATAAACAACATGTATATAACAAATCCCATTCAAGAGCAACAGAATATACATTCTTCTCAAGCACACATGGAACATTACCCAGACGATATCATATATTAGATCACAAAGCAAGTCTTAACAAATTTAAGAAGATTGAAATCATATCAGGTATTTCTTTTTACCACATGAAAACTGCATGAAAAGAGACATCAATAACAGGCAGAAAATTGGATAATTCACAAATATATGGTCAAGTGATCTTCAGTAAGGTTGCCAAGAATGCAGAGAGGGGAAAAGAGTCTCTTCAATAAATGGTGCTGGGAAAACTGGACAGACACATGCAAAAGAGTGAAGGTAGACCTTTATTTTATAACAGACCCATAATTCAACTCAAAATGGATTAGAAACCTAAATTTAAAACCCAAAACCATGAATCTCCTGATAGAAAACAAGGGGCAAAAGCTACTTAATACTGGTCTCAGTAATAATTTGGGGGGATATGACACCAAAAGCACAAACAAGAATAACAACAACAACAAAAATTGAGATTGCACCTAACTAATGTGAACCAAAAAGCTTCTATGAAGAAAGGATACAATCAAGAAAACGAAAAGGCAACCTACAGAATAGAAGAAAATATTTACAAACTATGTATCTAACAAGGGGTTAATATCTAAGATATATAAGGAGCTAATACAACTCAACAGTAGAAAAGCAAATAACCTTATATAAAAAGAGGCAAAGAACTTGAATAGACATTTCTCCCAAAACGACATATAAATTTCCAAAAGGTATATGAAAGTATGCTCAACATCAGTAATCACCCAGAAAATGCAAATCAAAACCACAATGCTGTAACACCTTACACCTGTTAAATTGGTTTTTATTTAAAAAAAAAAGAAATAACGTGTTGGTGAGGATGTAGAGAAATGACAACACTTTTGCACTATTAATGGGAGTGTAAATTTGTTCAGCCATTTTAAGAAAACAGTATGGAGTTTCTCAAGAAAGTAAAAATAGAAAGTAAAAAAATATATATATGATATAGCAAACCCACTTCTGGGTATTTATCCAAAGGAACTGAAATCAGGATTTCAAAAGATTCCTTCATTTTTATGTTCATTGCTGCATTATTCACAATAGCTAAGAAATGGAAACAACCTAAATATCCATCAATGGATGAATGAATAAAAATATGATATATAATAATTAAATATTATTCAGTCTTAGAAAAGAAGAAAATCCTGCCATTTGCAATAACATGGATGGACCTGGTGCCCATTATGCTTAGTGAAATAAGCCAGGTGCAGAAAGACAAATATTGTATTATCTCACTTATATGTGGAATCGAAAATAGTCAAAGTTTTAGAGGCAAAGAGTAGAACAGTGGTTTCCAGGGGCTGGGTAGGGTGGTGGTTTGAAGGGAAAATGGGAGGTGATGGTCAAGGGTACAAAGTTTCATTTGTGCAAGTAATAAATAAGTTCTGGAGATATATTCTGCAGCATAGACCCTATAGCTAACAGGACTGTACTCTAGACTTAAAAATGTGTTAGGTAAAAATGTGTAAGGGTAGATGTTATAGTAAATGTTCTTAACACACACACAAAAAGATAATAATAAAGAGGGCAGGAGGAAATTTTGGAAGGTGACAGATATGACTATGGTATTGATGGGTTGATGGTTTTACAGGTAGTTGTCCTCAAACTTATTGAGTTGTATACATTAAATATGCACAGCTTTTTACAGGTCAATAATAACATAATAAAGTATTTTTAAAACAGTATTTATTTTCCTTTTATATTAATATTAGAGGATTAATGCTTGCTTTGTACATGTTCCAGTGCTTTGAGGCTGTCATAAATGTAGTCATATCTAATATCTAAACTAAAGCCTTCCTGGTGTGTATTTTTTAAAGAATAATTCTGTTTCTAGCTATAAGAAGAAGAAAGAAGAAGAAGAAGAAGAAGAAGAAGAAGAAGAAGAAGAAGAAGAAGAAGAAGGAGGAGGAGGAGGAGGTGGTGGAGGAGGAGGAGGAGAAGGAGGAGAAGCAGAAGGAAGAAGATGGAAAAAGAAGAAAAAAAAGAAGAGGAGGAGAGAGGGGGTGGGGGGGAGGAAGAATAAGGCGGCAGCTATGAATTCCCAAAATAAATAGTGCACACATATAACATATAAATATAATTTAAAATGTTATATTTAGTATATTGTCTATAAAATGAAAATTTTCCTTTACACAATAGCCCTTCAATATTGAATGAAAACCCTACAGATGTTGATAAACACAAGCAATTAGGCAGGACCTGTTAATTTCTGATGTCAGATAACGATACTGGCAGCTAATATTTTTAAGTGCTCACTAGGCACTGCTTTATCCCGGGCAGTGCTTTATCAGTGTTCAACATTTTGACTCAGATCTGGAAAACACCCTAGGATTGTTTATTAGTCCTATCTTTCAGATGAGGAAAATGAGGCACAGAGGTCTAGGTAAGGTTCCTAAGTGACACTGCCCATAAATGGTGAAATCAGGATTCAATCCCAGCATCTGTGCCCTTGACCAAAGAGAAATGCTGTGAACTCAAGAGGCATTAACCAAGATTTCTTGTCCAAGTAGATATATTCAAATGCAATTAACACCTGATTCATTTCAGTGAGCACTCTCCACAAACAACAGTATGAAATACTAACACCATTCAGCTCTGACTTAGCATGTAGAAATTATCTAAACACTCCTCTTGGTTATTCAAGACTCTTGACATGCAGTGTGATGCAACACTCCAAAGTGAGCCCACTGGAAGGTCTAGAGAAAGTCTCTTATTATATGAACAAAATTGCTTCCGAAAATAGACACAAAGAAAGAATGGCGTCCTCCAACAGGGCTACTTTAATTTTCACCCATTTCCTACTCTATTTGCTCCACACATTAATCTTCTGCCTACACTGGTGCACCTTTTCTTCCATTGAATATGCACACATTCATCTACAGCAGCTCCTACTTGGAAACCCACATCTATCTTTGTTTCCTCTTTCAAAAATCTAGTTGATATCCATTTCTTCTAGGATGTCATTTTCTGACAATGATTAGAGAAGTGTAAGGGTTAAATCTTTCTAAGTATAATGTGGAATAATAAAAATCAGTTCTTCATTTGCTCTGGGAAAAATCATCCATGTTCTTTTAATCTTTAGCCTACTCTCTGAACCTCATATTGTATATGCAAAAACTTTTCTTAAATCTGAGTTATTATGCATAAACACCTAAGGCTGAGAGTTTCTTGCAACTTTATTTTCATTTGTTCTACTTCTAAAGAAACAAAATCCTGTATAAAATTAATCATATTTTTTTAAAAAACTCTTCTTTGATAAAGTTTTGGCATTTCTTAAAATTTACCAAGTATTATAGCTTAACCCCTGCAGTGGCTATGCTGGAAATTCATTTTATAGTTTCGGAAGAAAAAGAAAATGTGCTCCGTTAAAAAAATGTGTAGCATGCAAGATAAGCTATACTTTTAGCACCTGCCCTTTCACTGTGACCTGGGAAGTCTCTGCTGCACATATTCCATTACCTGTGCTCACAGATATCATGGACCTCCCTAACACAATGGAGCGTTTAGACAACTGCTAAGGTAGTAAATAACATTAATCATGATTATTATTAATGATTGATTTATATGATTATATAATAATGAATGATTTAATGATTATTAAAATGATTGTTCTACTCCCCTTTCCCCAGGAATTCTATTAAGACCAAATATATTTTTACTCTTTTATCTTTTACTAGTAAAGCAAAACTCCTAGAACAGAAGTTCTCACCTTGGCTGCAGGTCAGGGTTAAGCTGGGGACAGCTTAACAATCTTGATATCCAGACTGTGCCTCAGGTCAATTAAACCAGACCCTCCAGGGTGTGACCAGGCAGCAGTATTTTTTAAAGTACCAGATGGTTCTAATGTGCAGCCCAGGATGAGAACCACTGTCCTAGAAATACAGGGAAAACATCGAGTAACCTGTTGGTGTGGGGTAAGAAAGAACTAACATGTCCAAAATTTAATGGCCTAGTTATCTGTACTACCATCCATTTGTGAACCTGATTTTGAATGGCCTACAGTCAAATGTAGCTATTATGATAGTGTTGTGGAGATTAACCCTTAAGGAGAAGAAGGTAAAGAGCAGTATGTCTCTAATGATTTGGGGTCCTTTTTGGGACAAAACAAGAGGAGCGAAGAGGTATATCTCAGAATTGCCAGAATACAATGGAATTGTACTTTAAAAATCTACATGTTGCTGGCATTTCTGAAACAAGAGAGAGGTCGGGTTCTATGCTCAGGTAATATCATCTCATCTTCTGTTTAAATGTGGAAAGAAACACAAAATTGTTTTATTTTTCATCTTCCATGAATTTAGGCATTACATTTCCATTGTCTTTTGGTTTTTCCCATAGATGTCCCAATCACTCCCAAATAAAAAGCTTGTTTCCTTAGAAGTTATATTTTAAAAAATGAAATGAAAATGCCTTCCCTTACCTTCCCTGACTTTGGTTCCTCCAAGGACAATTGCGGATATTCCAACGGATGAAGACAGGAGCCAAATACAGATATTGATGATCTTTGCCTTCAGAGGTGTGCGAAAGTCCAGTGCCTTGATAGGGTGACATACAGCAATATATCGGTCCACACTCATCATAGTCAAGGTGAATATGCTGGTAAACATGTTGTAATAGTCAATGGAAATGACTATCTTGCACAGCATATCCCCAAACGGCCAGGAATTCATCAGATAGACTGTGCTCTGGAAGGGCATGGTGGTAGTAACTAAAGCATCTGCCATAGCCAGGTTAAATATATAAATGTTGGTCGCTGTCTTCATCTTAGTGTATCTAAAGACAAGAAACAAGATCATTTCTCTCCATCTTCATGTCAAATCCATGAGGTTAACTGTTTGTGAAAACCTTTGGACTACTAAATTTGGTTTTCATTCACTTATTCTTTACATGTTTATTGTGTGTCTAATATTAGTAAAAAAAAGAGTTTTAGTCTTTAAGAATAGTATAAAAATGGGCAAAAATCTCTGACATTAGCTTTTATTATAGTGTTTTGTGCAAAATTTATTTAAATGAAAAATTAACAGGTAGAGGAAACAGTCTAGATATATAGATGAATTTACACAGTATAGATCTCAACAGATTTGCATATAATATAGGTCTTTTTAATTTCACTAACATACATAAGTTTGTTGATTTTTGTTTGCCACTATGCACTGGTTTTTCATTTTCAATGCATCAGTAAACAAAGAAGGCTGAGTTTTTCCCTTATACATGTCATAGCACTAAATGTAACCCATTACAGTAAGTAAGGAAGAAGTCTGTTTTTCTTGCATCTTGAGTGAGTTTTCAAATACATAATTTGTTTCATCTTCTGACTGAGGAGAGAATAATTTTCAAGGTAGGTAAGAAAGACTGCCTTTAATCCCAAATTATTCTTCTCATTACCACATGAAGTTTAGAACAATTCCATTTTCAACTAAAACCAAATTAAGAGAATTCTTTTACTTAGAACATTTCTTCAGGGATCTATAGTGCATGAAATGTTCCAAACTATACCAGCAGCTTTTCAGAGGCCAAATGCTAATATGTTAGGAAAATCTGTATGTTAATTATTCTCTATACACTTCAGATTTGTAGACCTTATCACAATTATTGCAGCCATGCCCCATGAACCTTCAAAGAGCTAGGCTTCCTCAATGTACAGTCATGACTTTTATTAAAGGCCATTTAAAAAGGAACTATCTTATGTAAAACCACTTCTGCTTTGGTTATAAAAAATAAATATCAATGGTATTCATTGATCATGGTGTTGGTGCCATTCAAGACATAAATTTCCACATGAGAAACTTTTTACCATGAAATGATATAACAACCTCAGCTGCCCTTGGAAATAGTGTGGTCTAATGTGAAGGTAGATAGTCCTTAGTCTGGACACAATATAAGACTTTTCTGAGTTTCAGTTCTTGTTAAATAATGTTAGTAAAGCCTAACAGGCAATACATAAGATAAAGGTGGTAGATGGCCTGACTCAAAATATTTGACTCACAGCGTTACACTTCGGATTCCCAATGCCCTGCCTCCCCAATCTTTCCTTTCTCTCTCCTGTTCTTGTCAGGAGAGGTATTTGTTTGTACTTGGATGAAGGCATTATTAGGACTGGTACTACAATCAATACCTTCTGGTTTTCATTTTGATGCTCTTGACTAAACAGTGATTTAATCTGGTGAGGAGTTTACTTAAAACTATGCTTTGCATTATAGTTTTCACTCAAATACTTTTTTTAATGTTATTTAGTTATTATTAGAGAGAGGGGAAGGGAAGGAGAAAGAGAGGGAGAGAAATATCAATGAGTGGTTGCCTCTCAAGCACCCCATACTGGGGACCTGGCCCACAACCCAGGCATATGCCCTGGATGGGAATCGAACCGGTGATCCTTTTCTTCACAGGTAGGCACCCAGTCCACTGAGCCATACCAGCCAGGCTATTTTTTTAATGCTCTGTAAGCTTTAGAAAGTGATTGAATGTGCAAGGTCAATGCTCAGAACATAGGTTTTATAAAGTCATAGATAACTAAGCAAGTACATTTACTGAGACAGCCAAGTATTTCTTGTGAGCAAGACTGAAATACTATCTGTTTAAATATCGTCTTCTTAAAAATATAGTTATGTTGGAAAAATGCATCTTAAAAGCAGCACTCTTACTCTTTCAACTTTTTCCCCTCAAGTCCCTACTGCTAGCAAAGACCTTAGCAGGCAGTATCTGTAACTTCTACTCTCATGTTTTTTTCCCTGATATTCTCTACTTTCTTTATAAAGTTAGCCTGACTCTCATGTTTTTTCCCTGATATTCTCTTCTTTCCTTATAAATTTAGCCTGATCTTGTCTGCCTTACACTATTAGGTAGACCTGGGTTCTAGTCATTTTTCCTTCCAACTGATAGACTTTGGATAGTCGCTAAAAACCCTGACTTGGTGTTTCCCAACTATAAAATGGGAAATAGAATATCTATTTCATAAAGTTCCTGAAATAATGTGGACTGCACATAATACATGCACACAGTCTGGAGAATACGTCTAATTTATTTCATGTTCCCCAAATCGTCCTTCCTCTCTCATGTGGGTAGGAGCCACCAGTTCCCACCAGAAGCAAAGGGGAATATAGGTTCTGATTAAGGCTCAAGGTTGTATTTACCCAATTTATTTTGAATAAAAGATAAGAGTGAAAATGAAACCCAGAATCTTATACATTGGAAGGACAAGAATAGAATAATATACAATATTATACTACTATATATCTTAAATAATCATAAATGTTGAGTGGTAATTTTCTCATAGTTTTTCAAAAGTATTTATAACAAATGGATATATGAAATTGCTTAAGAACTTATAAAGAATTTAGATCCTGTCATCAGATCTCAGAACATGAGAAACACCCACAACAAAAATGTCTACAAATTACATTAATTGTAGCAAAAGCCCCTGCTCCCAGAGAAACAAGCTCAGCCCACCTCACCCACGTGAGAGCTACCGCTGTTACCATCCCAACAGGCTGGTACATCTACCAGGGACCTAGAGGAGTCTGCACTCTCCTGCCATGGAGACCCTGGTTCTGCTGACATCCCTATGTCATGGCATCACCTTCCTGTTTTGAGAAGTTTCATAGCAATGACAACAATACTAATAATAACCATTTATTTCAAAACCCACCCTGAGTCAGGCATTCTGCTCTACACTCCACATGCTTTATTCCATTTGTCCTCAGAGCAACTCTGTGCGGTAGATATCAGCCTCCCTAATGTATGAATTTTGTAAAATTCCCAAGTCTGTAAATTGCTCCAAGGAATGTGGTTATAAAGAGCAGGGCAGGAATGCAAAACCAGAGGTTTGATCCCAGCTCCCACAGTCTCATTTCTCCCCAGCACTGTATAATGTATTACACAAAACTCAGTATTTTGACTTCCATGTATCTTATTTGATTCTCACAACAACTGTTTCAAGTTTACCCTGGAGATTTAAGTCTTTTTCCCAATTTAGCTGAAGAAAGTTAGACTCGGGTAAGTAATTTGTGCCTGCAGAGGCAGGAGCTCAGTGGGAGGATCTGGAAGGGGCAGGGGGGCAAGGCTCTTCTCTCACGCTTCTGAAAGACACATGCTTATAACCCTATTATGCCAGAAAGGGAGAAAACAACAGGTATAATTAAAAGTAATAAATAAACAGTGAGTTCAACAAATATTTATTGAGAGTCTTTTACACACCATACTGGACTGGCTCCTATGAGCACATCATTACAAGGCAAAACTCTCAGCCTCCACAGCCTGATTGAGCTGTTTGGTATTGTTTGTATTTAACCAAAATGAAACAGTAATTAGTCCTCCCAGTCACTATATGTCTGCTGGTGGAAAATACAAGTAAACTTTCTTACTATGGGAAGGTATAAATTTAGTTTCCATTTCATCTACATTGCTTTACAAAAATTCACAAGTATTTCAAGTAAAATGGCACCGTGTGGGTGGGAAGTTGGGGCTCATGCGGGAAGCTGGAGGTGGGCTGGCAGCAAGTTGTTGCACTTTTTAACACACATACCACAGCAGCATATGGCACTAAAAGAGCAAAGTCTGTGGGCTGTCCTCGCTGAACTTGACAATGTTCCAAATCTGAAAAAAAACAGGACAGTGCCCCAGGAGGGGCCATGGAGCAGGCCAAAAAGAGGGGTCAAGTAGGGAGCTGAGAGTGCCAGCCGTGGGATAACATGGCAGGGGCGTCTCCAGGAGTTAAAAATGCTCCCCATGACACCTTACCTCAAGGCCTTCCTAGTGTAGCTCTCCTTACAGAGAATTTAGGCATGGCTTTTAAATTGGCAACCATATATGCTTGTGTGATGCCAAAGGGAACAAAGTAATCTGCCGAGCCATCAAGGACCAATGTCAGCAGGCAGGGTTTCTGGGAAAGTGATACACTGGCCACCCAAGAAAAGAGACACTAGTGGGAGGAATATTGAGCCTGCTATTGAGGTGTATTGCCCAAGTGTTTTTTTTTTTTTAATTTAAATAATGATTCATTAATGAGAAGCTCCTTTTTAGCTTTATGACAGCATGATAAATCAATAATCCTGATGGCTAAGCACCAATTAGTTAGCATGGGATTTGGTACTTGATAATTGCTCAGTAAATGGCAGCCCTCGTTGTCCTCATTGCTACTCCTGCTGTTGTTGTTATTATTAATGTTATTATTAATTATCTACTGTCCTAATAACCCATGTCACAGTGCCGTAAGATACCAATGCCCTCATTTTATCTGGAGATGATTCTCAGGAGTTCTCAGAGTCCATATCTAATAAGTAAAGAAACTCAGGACTGCCATTCCAAAGCTTCTTATGGAGTCAGAAATTTTCTCAGAAGAATAAGGTGATTCTGAGAATTCTGCCGCCTCCATCACTAAGGACTGAAAAACATTCCGATTAGTGTGGTCACATACATGGGGGTAGACAGCATCTGACATGAGGAAACTGGGCATGGTCCAGAAGGTAATACTGATATAAAATATTAGCAGGCTGCCCCTCGGTGGGCAAATGCTGCCGTGTATATTATGGTGTCTTAGTTTTTCCAAAGGCAGCACCCATTTTTCTGAGAAGAGGAAGTAAGTGATTTGACTGAAACCACAAATTTGTGAGACAGTGGGAAGTAAAATCTGAGCATTCTGAGTAGCCGTCAAGCTACAGCTCCAACATAACAAAAACAACAAACACCTATGAGCCTCCCTTAACTTGAAATGCTGGAGCTGCACTAGGAACCTGGAGACCCTCAAACACCAAACTCAGCAGGAAGAAAGTTCTGCA